TTTTTTTTCTTCTTCTGCTTTTTTTCCTTCTTCTTCTTCTTCTTCTTCTTTTTCTTCTTTTTCTTCTTCTTCTTCTCCTTCTCCTTTTTCCTCTCCTTCTTCTTCCTCTTCTTCTTCTTCTTCTTCTTCTTCTTCTTCCTCCCCTTCTTCCTTTTCTTTTTCTCCCCCTTCTCCCCCCTCCTCCTCTTGTCAAAACTGCGATTTTGCACTGATTTGGGTGCTTGGGTAAGTTGCGATTCACCTACTTATAGTTCGGTGATGTTTCCCCTTCATAGATTGTTTCAAATCTTGAGTTTTCACTGATTTGGGGGTTTGGGTAAGTTGCGATTCACCTTGTGATAGTTCGGTGATGTTTCCCCTTCATAGATTGCTTCAAAGCTTGTGTTTTCACTGATTTGGGGGCTTGGGTAAGTTGCGATTCACCTAGTGATACTTCCGTGATGTTTCCCCTTCATAGATTGCTTCAAATCTTGAGTTTTCACTGATTTGGGGGCTTGGGTAAGTTGCGATTCACCTTGTGATAGTTCGGTGATGTTTCCCCTTCATAGATTGCTTCAAATCTTGGATTTTCACTGATTTGGGGGCTTGGGTAAGTTGCGATTCACCTTGTGATAGTTCGGTGATGTTTCCCCTTCATAGATTGCTTCAAATCTTGAGTTTTCAGTGATTTGGGTGCCAGGGTAAGTTGCGATTCACCTTGTGATAGTTCGAAGATGTTTCCCTTTCATAGATTGCTTCAAATCTTGAGTTTTCACTGATTTGGGTGCTTGGGTAAGTTGCGATTCACCTTGCGATAGTTCGGTGATGTTTCCACTTCATAGATTGCTTCAAAGCTTTTGTTTTCACTGATTTGGGGGCTTGGGTAAGTTGCGATTCACCTAGTGATAGTTCGGTGATATTTCCCCTTCATAGATTGCTTCAAATCTTAATTTTCACTGATTTGGGGGTCTGGGTAAGTTGCAATTCACCTTGTGATAGTTTGGTGATGTTTCCCCTTCATAGATTGCTTCAAATCTTGAGTTTTCACTGATTTGGGTGTTTCGGTAAGTTGTGATTCACCTTGTGATAGTCCGGTGATGTTTCCCCTTCATACATTGCTTCAAATCTTGAGTTTTCACTGATTTGGGTGCTTGGGTAAGTTGCAATTCACCTTGTGATACTTCGGTGATGTTTCCCCTTCATAGATTGCTTCAAAGTTTGTGTTCTCACTGATTTGGGTGCTTGGGTAAGTTGCGATTCACCTTGTGATAGTTCGGTGAT